AATGTGTAAAAACAAATGTTTACATCTAGTTTAAAAAAATCCAATATATATTACAGAAATTATAAATAAGTTAGCAATAAATCTACATGATTTTATACTAATTAAAATAAAGAGATTTGAAAAAGGAAAAAAATACATTGTATACATACTATCATAATAAAATAAGTAAATAAGGTTAAAATAATCTAGTACGTATATACATGTAATATATTATAAATTATGCACAAGATGTATGCTAATATACTAATGCACGTATATATATATACACTAATGCATGTATTAAAAAACGTAATATATGATAGATTAAAATATAAATTTCAAGAATGGGATGCCCAATGTGCGAATAATAAAACTTGAAATAATTGAGTCTAATGACTAAAGTGTAAAACGCATAGAACTTAATGGCGAAATTAGAAATAAAAATAATATTAAATCAGGGACCAAAATGCATTCGAAAACATTTATAGTATCTATACTAAAAATAACCCATCTAAGATGCTGAAATTTAGAGGACTAAAAACCTAATTTAACCTAGAGTTGTAATATATATATACTACTTAAACCTAAACCTACCCTAATTTTAAACTAACACTCATCAGCCGCATACACCACTTCAATTCTCTTTTTTTTTCTCTTCCACAACAGTGACGTTCCCCTTCTTCTTCAAACCCACGCTGCCGAGAGCCTTAAAGCTCTCTTTCAACTATACACGCCGTCGACACCAAAGATGGAGTTCAACCACCGTTCAATCGTTGTTCCCCAACGCTCTCCTTTTCGATGACTAAAACTCGATACCGACAAGGCTAAGGAAAGCACTTTCTTCCCTTTTTATTTCGAAACAACAGACTTACACACCCGCACACCACGCACTGGAAATCAAAAATGAAATCGAATACCTTGAGAAATTGCTACTGATTTCTGTTATTTCATCAAATACGAAGGGAGCAAAACCCTTTGTTTAAACTGCTTGACTATTGATTATTGGGAGCCCAAATACATATGTTTTTGAATATGGTCGAAGAGTCCTCTCTATTTTTCACACTGTATTTTCTTTCCCTGTTTCTGGATTTTACTCCCCTTCTCATTTTTGAATGCCCCCTCTTTATGCCTTCTTCTTTGTTGCTGAATGATCTGGCATTAAGTATGTGAGATTTATTTTTAATGGATTTTCGGTGGAGTAGGTTTGATTTGGTTTAGTGAATTTGTAATGGATGGCTAATTTAGGTACTATAGTGGAGCATGGTGTGGGATTAATTATTTAAAAGAAGTGGTGCTTGGGTTGTTGCTGATGTCCTTCACGTGGGGAAGTAATGGGTAAAAGATGAGGCATTTATTTAAAGAAATGATGCAAGTAGTGGTGCAGGGTATGACCCCATTTTATTAATTTATGTGATAACAATTTTTTTGAGATAAAATATTAATGCTTAAAATCATTTTAGAGGTTTAAAAACTTTTTCAATTTACTATTTTGTTGATTTAACACCTTATTGCCAGACATAAACGACCCTTCGTATTTACGAGCTTAATGCAATTTATGTCCTCTTTCAATTTTAAAAAAAACTTTTTGAAATTTAAGAGATTTAAAATATTTATTCTAAAATTTAAATGGTAATAATATTTCTTTCGAAGATTTGAACATATTATATGAACTGGACTGTGGTTTAGATAACTGTTAGTTCTACTCAAGCTTAAATTGGATCAGTCCAATAGATAATTATATTATTTAAAGTTAAAATTTTATATTAGTATTAAATATTTTATAATTAAATTAAGGGTAAATTATACAAATAGTCCTCAAACTTTTAGGGTATTTGCATTTTGGTCACCCGACTTTTAAAATTTGCGCACTAAACTTTTAGTTCATTTTCAATATGATCCCTGACATTACCCACATGTTAATTTTATCTGACGTGGCACGTTAACTCCGTTAACCCCCCGCAGTCTTTCACCCCTTATTCTTCTTCTTCCTTCATTTATCCAATGCTTTGAAAAGCCATTGCCATCCTTTAAAACTTCTTCTGCTCTTGAAATATTTTTTACTAAAAACTTTGACATCCATATCAGCTTTTAAGGTTTTGTAAACCACGAAAAACATGGTTCAACCTCTACATTTATGTTTATCACCCTATAATCCAATGGGGAGCTTTTATGTGGGTATATATGCTAACGTCTCATAACAAAGTTAATGGGAAGTTAACTGGTAAGAATTCGAGTTGTGAGTGCAGTAAGAGTACCTCCACCCTCAACTCTTATACTAGGTATTGCCACCGCTCTACCTTTTCACCTTCATTGTTTTTTTTTTCTCAAGAGAATTCATTTCGCCACCACACATTAATGCAACCACAATTCCGAAAGAAACTCAGACTAGTAAATACTCAAAGAATCCATTCCAATAAGGTGACTATTTATTGATAAGGTGTATAGAATATAATATACTATAGCAGTAGTTGTTGAAGAACATGAATAGAGAGAGACCAAAATGTTTTTTTTGGGTTGCGAGGTTCAAGAGATATGTTTCATTTGAGAAGAAGAAGAAGAACGGGATTTAATGGAGTTAATGTGTCACGTCAGATAAAACTAACGGCGGGTAACATCATAGACCTTATTGAAAATGAACTAAAAGTTCAGTAATTTTGTTTTTGAAAGATGAGTACTTTGTATTATTGAATATACAAGGTACAATCACCTCATGAACCTCATTAAAAAACCTCCTTAAACTTATTTGGAGGAAAAAGAGTGAAATATGAGGTGGAAAGAACAAGAAGCTCCTGAGAAAGCAAACACTGCCTGAGACACATGCTACTACAAAAACACATCTAAACTGCTGCTATACACACAACTACAAACAGAGATGGGAACCAACAGAAAAGACCACAAAGTGAAGAGCAACAAAACAACTTAGCACAAACCTCCTGTGGAGAAGCACCAAAATAGAGTTTCAACATTAACAGCTGAAACATAGATCGACCTTGAACTTCGAACTAAAACCTGAAAATCAATGGGACAATACAGGTCACGAATAGAAAGACCCACGCTCCAAAAAGCTATCCCAAACGTCTCCAGAATGAAACGTAATCAATCCAATCCCCCTTTGCCAATCAGACGAACCTAAGAAAATCTCCAAGATCAAAACATTCGCCTAAACAACCCCAACAATACTCTAAATAACATCAACTCGAGACTAACGGCAAAAGCTTCTAAAAAACCACCAATTCAGGACTACCAACCATAAGACCGAGCTGCCTATCTATAGACAATGCCTCATGCGCTTCAATAAAAGCTTCAACCCACCTTTGTTTTAAAACGAAATCTGAGATAAAGGTGCCGATAAATCAGATAAAAGATCGGATTTATTCAAATTTAATTTCTTCAGCGCTCGATCTCGTCTTCTTTTCTCCGCTTTAGAGAGAACCTTGCCTGAATTTCCAGCATTGATCCAAATTTCTTCAACTTTAATTTTTTGGTAAAGGACCGACACGGCAATATCAACGACTCCTCAGAACCACACCCAACAGACTTAGAAAAAGTCCCCTCATGTATATTTCGCGAAGAATCTAGCTCTACATTCGATCCCACAACAAAACCCTTGTTTGACGAGCTATCCAAAAGCGTGAAAGAACCCTCGAAAGCATTTTCATCGTGAGCAACGTCCATGTTCTTAAGTTCACCACTTTTGAGTTGCCCTTAAAAATCGGCTTGTCACAAGGTGAGTAAAGTCCCCCGAAAGCATTGACCACATGATTCTCCAATAATATTTTACTAATGGAAATATCGACATCTTTAAAATAATCCACGCTCCTAATACAGTCCTCAAAAGACTTGAAATTACACCCATCAATGGGTGTGTTTGGCCCCACACGCATTTGCACGATACCATCATGCGCCCCATTACTAGCTTCCAGATTCTTGGAAAATCTGCTCCTCAAACGAATTGAGTCATGCCCAACTGTCCCACTACACAAAGAAAGAAAATTAGAAATAAAACTAAATTCATTTGCCCATAGCTCTTCCATTATGGGACCAACGCCGATATTCTCCTCGCCTGGGGACCTGTGAACTCCTTTATCGATCAAATTAACAAAAGAATTGGACGACACAACATGCGCCTTCCCATTAGTTTCGAGCGTATCACATAATTCCACCATAGACCCAACGTGCTCCCTATTAACGTCCACCAAATCAATATGCGTGCCACTCCATTGACAAACGAGACCATGTGCGACTGCCCCACTACGCAATGTCGAGGAATCTCTTACCCCAACCCATACCTCTACGGAACAAGGAGCTACACCAACATTCTCAGCTTCTGAACACTCACCACCACGCACAAACAAACCATCCCTAGACACTTGATTTTCTTCATGCATTACCTTCATTTTAGAAGACAATCCAACACAAGCCACCAACTCGGAAGATTGAACTGGCGCGACGTCGACAAGGTCCCCCACCATGGGAGACGGGGATGCAACTTCCTTTTCCATCAAAGGCGAAACTTCCCAAATAGATTCCGGGCTAAAACGAGGTTCAAACTCAGAAACATAGACAGTAAGCATTTGCTCCCCTACTTTCAAAAAAAGAGATTCTTCCACTCGAGTTGGGCAATTTGTAATAATTTGAAACAACGCCCTGTCAAAAGATCTGGGATTTAAAGTCCCTTCATCAATGGAGATAAGAGTTCCCATTTTTCTGCTACATTTCTGAAAGTTGAATGACTCCACACAAAAGGAGGAATCCCTTTGCATGATAACCATGCCTGACGGCTTCTGCACTAAAAGTTTTCTGACCACACTTCAACCTTGTCGAAGCAGTTTTTTAACGCCCCATCTGATTATTTAGAGTAAAATCCCTACTATTTTCATCTTCAAAGATAATTAAAATAGCTAAACCGCTTAGCCTCATGATTCTCGGACGTAAAATGCATTCCTTATGCATAATAGAAGCCAACTCATTCATTTTTGTAAATTTTCTATACCAACCTACCAAGCTATCTCTAAGAGTTATTAGCTATCCTCATCAACGACACCGACAATGGGAACCTCTGAAAGACTAAAATTCTCCTCTCTACACTTGACCTCGGCTGATTTTGCAACAACACACTTCTTTCTCCAATAGGCCTCCCGAGGTTGAAATCTAGCCATGAAAACTCTCACCTTATTTCCTTGAATCCTTGATCTATCAGCACTAATGATAGCCTGTTTCGCATCCTCCAATCTATTGAAGCGAACAAAACCGAATCTGCTTCCTCCCTTGCTTCTTTTATTAGGGATGAAAGAATCTACCATCTCGTCATATTTATCGAATATTAACCAAAGACCTTGATAATGAAGGAACTCTGGAATATTGAAAATGATCACTGAAACGCAACTTCTCCCTCCCGTAACTCTCACCTTACTCGCCATTTAGATCAAACTGTTAATATTTATTTTGTCCCAAAAGTTCAGTAATTATATTGTAAGTTTTAGAAATTGGGTGACCAAAATGCAAGTGCCTAAAAGTTTAGGGCCTATTTATATACGACAACCCTTAAATTAAAAAAATATATGATTTTATATTCATAATGATTTGTAAATAAAAGTGTTTACGTGGCCATGGATAAGGCGCTTGCCTCTGGAGCAAGAGACTCTTGGTTCGAGTCCCACCGTGAATGATTTACTCATAATTTGCTATTCAATTAAAATTATTATTTAAGAATAATAAATTGATAATAAAAATATTTAATTTCATAATAAATAACGAAAGATAGAATTTTTTTATTAAAAAACTATTAAATTAACTGACAGGGGTTAGTTCAAGTCTTGATATCGTTTAAGCAATGTATATTAAAATGTAATTTCTTTAATAAAAAAATTATAGCTTAGAAATAGATAAATGAGTTGAGCTTTCTGAATCTATGGTAAGAGTTTAATTCTACTATAGAGTCAAAATGAGTATTTAGATCAAATGAATCATTAATAATAATAAAATTATTTCAATATTTTAACTAATGAATGTATCAATATAAAATTCAAGTTAGATTATAAATAATTATTATAACTTTTATAATTAATAAAATATAATTATATTATCTTAATATCATCACAAATTAAAAGTAAACAAAAATATTTAATCTAAAATTTCTTAAAACTCCACAAAATGCAGGGATTAATTCAAGTACAATATTGTAATCACCCAATACACATATTACAAATATTATTATTATTATTATTATTATTATTATTATTATATTATTATATTATATTATAAATATTATTATTTAACAAACCACCCAATATACATATTACAAGCCCATAAAAAAATCGAACCCATTTACAAAATAAAACCAAACCCTATTACAACACCCAAACAGAACCCGACCCAGGCCCAAACCAAACTCAACCCGAACTCAAATTAGAGCCTAACCTAAACCTAGACATAAACCTACTGTAGTCGCCCCCAATCCCCTATCAGTTGTTGTCGGTCTCTTCACCAACCAAAGGAGGGCCATGCTAAACTCCACGCTACCTGCAGAAAACAACAAGGAAAAGAAAGAGTGATGCTTTTCTTTTCTTCTCTGTAATGGGTATAAAACCCGAACTAAAAATGATGTAAAAGTCTCTCGTTGATTTTCATTCCCCAGAAGCAATAGAATGAAAAATACCAAGTTTTTTTTTATCTTTTTAAAACTTCGAGCATCAGTTTATCCTTTTTTCTTTTTAGTTTCGGGTAACAGCACAAAAAAGTAACCCTTTGAGTTTTTCTGAGAATAATAATAAACGCGCTTATTGTTGTTTCGAATATTAATAAATAGAAAAAATATAACCTTTTTTAGTTCGAAATAAACTTATCGAGGCTTTATTTTCACAGCAAAAAACATGAAATAAATAGAGAAAGTTAGATTTGTTTACATTTGAGTCGAAAAAAGAGCTTTGTCGGGTTGCCGGAGTTGGGGAAGCTGAGCGGTTTAGTGGTGTTTTAGAGGTCTTTAGTAGCATATTTTAGTGTTTTTAGCCCCCTAAAAAGGCCTAGGCTAGTATATATGTGTTTTGGGGGCTTTTGGGTCATTTTGGGTTATCCGACCACCGTGTACGGTGGATGGATGATAGACAGATAGGGTTCAAGGCAGCCATCAGTAGGCCGATCGAGGGAAAGGGGAGATCATTTTATCCTTTTTTCTGTTTTGGTTTAAAATGAATTTAAAGCGAAATATTAGTATTTATAAAACAAATTCGGGGGAAATCACGCTGAGATTCCCCCACTTTTAGCATGTTTTTGCAGTTTGGTCACCTATAGGGACCAAAACTACTTTTTTTCCTTTTCTGTGGATGCTTTAATTTTTGGGTTTTTCACTGTTTAGTTCCCCTAACTTTAGTGTGTTTTTACATTTCGGTCACGTGTAAGAACCAAATTTGTTATTTTTCCTTCTCTTTGCATGTTGTATATTTTTTGGTAAATTTATTGTTTAGTCCCTGTAAGTTAGACGTATTTTTACACTTTGGTCATGTGTAGTGACCTTTTAATTTTATTTTAATTTGTGTGGACTAATTTTGTAATTTATCCTTTTTTAGTTAAACATGATATTTTAGGCTTAAATAAAATGTATAATTATCTTTCAGTCAATTTAGTTTTCGCGTGTTTTTTGTATTTTAGACCCTAAACTATTTATTTTACTTAGATTTAGCCATTTAATTTTGACTTGTTTTAATTTAGCCCTATTATATGTCTAATTTATTTATTTTTGCTTGGTAATTTGATATTTATGCAATTTGGTTCTTGTGTTTATCCTTATTTTATTTTTATTTTTTATGTTGTGTTTTTTCTTTTTTTATTATTTTAATTAAGTTATTTAAATGATTTGATACTTCATAGTTTTAAGTTTTAGATTTCGCTTTTAGATTAGGTTAACACTCAAATTGGATTTAGAAATTAGGATGACACCCTAGTTATTAATTAGAGAGCAATTCGAGTCGATTTTTCGTATAAGATGCCCGATTACTCGAATCGATTGCTCGACTTTTTTTAAAATTTATTAATCATTATTATTTTCTAAAAAAGCACTTTAGGTTAATTTAGATAATATTTAGGATTTTGTCTTATTAATTAATCCTCAACTTTAAAAACCGTTTATTTAGGTCCTTAAACTTTTAGTCTCTTAGAGCTCGATATTTTAGATCTTTGACCTTTTAGTCCCCAAACTTCAATTAGACCTTTAAGATTGACATAATCAAATAGGTTAAATAGAGCCTCTATTTTTAGCTAGATTTCAATATAGTCCTATTAACTTAGGGAATAATTCGAGTTGGCCATCGCGTAAATGCTCGAGGGACCATCTCAGTTATTCGATTCAACAATTGGTTTAAAATCAAATAGGGTTAATATTAGAACATACATTTTGAGCTTGAGCTTATAGGTTCTTTAATTTTCATAATTTGACACTTTAAGCTAGAAAAAGCTTGAATTTACCCGTAGCTTAATTAGGATGAATAAAAATTCGTTTGATTGCATTTTATTTTTAAACCTAAGGCAATATTCACTTATTAGGGAATTAATGGTATATTTCCCGTAATTATGCTCAGAGGGTGACTACTGGTGATTCCCGAAATAGGTCGACATCATTTTCAAGAACAAATCATGATTTCTAAAATTAAGGCAATGTCCGGTTATTGGAAAAAATAGTTGATCTCCCACATTTATGCTAGGGGTGAATGCTATTGGCATTAATAAACGAATACCCTTTTCAACTTTGAATCCGTAATAATTTTTAAATTAAATAACGTTCAAACTCAAAATTTTTTATTTTAAATATAGGGTAATCAACTAGGTACCAATTTTTGGGTGCTTGTGGGGGTGCTAATCCTTCCCCACTTGTAACCAACTCTCGAACATGATTTCTGGATTTTCACATACCATAAAACTTGGTATTTTGATAAAAATAAAATGTTTTATTAAATCACCCGCTTTTTATGGTGTCCCAATCACACCTTAAAATGATTGGTGGTGACTCCTCACATTTCGAAATTCTTTTCAAAGAAAAACCCCCAAGTCGGTACCGATCTTTCCCCGCCCGTGCGAAAAATGGTGTCGACAGCTTGTCGACTCCACTGGGGACTTTTGTTTTTAAATCAACTTGAAAGTCGAGCCAAGAGTTGATTACCCTATATTTAGGTTCTGGAAATTAGGAGTTGATCTTATTTTAATTTACGGTTCATTATGTTATTTCAAAAGAAAAAAGAGATTTTATCTCTGGTTAGTGCTTACACTTCTATGAATTTATTTAGGATTGTTGCATACCATATTTCTAAACTCGACCTCAATCCCAATTTATCTAAGTAGAGAGAAACGTCACACCTCATGAGGAGCATTGGGATTCCTTGTGTGGGTCTGATAAAGTATCTCTGGAAAGCATCCTAAGTTGCTTGTCCGTATATCAGTTTCGATACATGCTTTTAGCGATGTGATCCCCTGAGTCAAATCCGATTCGTAAGACTGTAATGGTCTAAAATCAAAATCAACCTTAGAAAGATGTAAAGATGGCTTGGGAACCCTTTACTAGAACCCACCTCATGTAGAGAACTTAGTAAACCTAGCCCATTTGAGCCATGAGGATAACCTAGGAGAAATAGAAAACATGCGGTTAAGACTTTTAATTTCCTTTGTATGCTTTACTTTTCAGTCTCAATTTTGAGTCGTATTTAATTATTTTTACTAAGATTACATTTCTTTAACTAATCATTTCAATTAACTTGATTCTTTTTGTCTTTTTTCTGCTAACTTGATTTTCTTTTGTCTGGTCTTGCGCTTTGTTACATTTTTGCATGAACATGACATATCATTCAAGGTATTGATCCTTTAAATAACTAATCTTTTAGAAGGTTCTTGAAAAACAATGCCACAACAATGCTTTTCATTGGGTTAGGTAGAATTTTGAACATGCTCTACGTAGATCGAGTAGCGTCAAGAGAGAGTCTACCTACTAATGAGACAAGCCAGACGTTTGCCAGATGAAGTAACAAGTCGGACTCAGGAACATTCGACACTGAAACCAACAGTTGAACATCACGAACCAGCTGGAAAAACTTCTAAAAGTATGAGACGAAGTAGAAGATTTTCAATATGCCTAAATCTAACGAAGGATGATGCGATACCCAGACGCTCGCAGGAGTTCAAAGATGGACCAGATTTGCACTTCCCCATTGTACTAGGACATTGCCAGATTTTCAAGAATTGTTCAAGGAAATATTATTTTGGGATCAATCATTTCGTTGCATTTGCATTTGCATTTTCATTTACCTTTACACCTTACATGTTATTATATGTCCTAACTTGTTTTATTCTACAATTCTTTTTCTTGCATCATATGGTCATGACATAAACAAAAGGGTGTCGATTCTGAGTAGTCGTCAATTAAAAGGTTTTTATAATG